CCCTCCTAAAAAACCGAGAGAACACTGCTATTGTACTGCAGAGTACTGTGTACCATAGTATCCAGAGAATACTTCTAATTCTTCTTCACTGTACTACTACTACAATATACTGCATCAAATGCCACGTACTACTCTATACTTTTTAACTGACCCTTACTGTACTCCCAACATACTGCACAAATGACCGGTACTGTAGAAGTACTCCGAACTGGGCACCACCCCTAACTGTATTGCAGTATGCCACATTGTAGTAGATGCGAGTATACACTGTATACTGTGTATTACGCTAGTAGAAAAACGAAAAAAAAAAAACCTGGGACGACACGGGTCAAAGGTCGTGCTAGTGTCTCTTCGCGTATGAGGTGACAGGTGAGTTCGGGTGAGATTGCAATTCTGAGCTTTAGCGCACCACGGTCTGAGGGACGGGTTGGACGTTAGCACAGCGACAAATCTGGGTTGTTTTTTTTTTTTTAGTTAAATGTTTTACGACTTCACTCTTCCCTGATTTTAGCTTCTTTTTCTGCGGAATTTCCCTCTCTGTGTTCTGTGGGACAAGTGCTAAAATTGTTACGTAGCAGTTCTGGTCTTCATCTACCGTGCACAAATAATATATTCCCGCACTTTGTAGACGTTGTCTCGGTGCTCCTTTACACACTTTAGCCAATGTTGACTTTTCGTCGCTCCAACGGAAAAATTAGTTAAAATTAGAGTTAAAATTCCAGACTGTTATTTTCTACCGTCGTCGAGTTTGTTGATGGATCTTAAGCTATTGCTAATATTTAAGCTTTGAGCCGATCAGTACTTGGGAAAACCGAGTTTTTCAAAAATGCCGCATTGCAACACCTAACATTATGTCACAAAAAGTACGAGCAACAAAAAATATATATTTTTATTTTTCACAAAATGTATTTACTCGGTGTGAAAACTGGGCCCGTTTGGTTGAACACGATGTCGCTACACAGGTGGGAATTGAAGAAAGATACACGCGAAGAAAAAAATAGTTTTTAAGGCACTTTAGTGAAAATTCTCCCGCCGCGTAATTAGCATAACCTACGACAAGGAACAATTTGAACGACGTGCGCTAATCGTGCGCCCGAAGGTGAGGTCGTCGCTTCGGCCGCATGGATCGTTTGCACGTGTCATCACTCGTATAACCGTTCAGCTGAAATTCCGACATCACTATGTTTAGATGTAAAAAAATACATTGGTGGTTCTTTAGAAATATATATATATATATATTTGTGAGTTTGCGCTTGTGTCCGATGTCGCCGCCGCAGCGTGTGTTCTGGATATGTATCACATTTTTTTCGTGGCCCGGGAGTTAAGCGGCTTACTGCGGTCTGCCGCTGGGCACGCGGTCCAATTGTACAGGAAGTAAGCCCCGTCTAGGTCTCTCTCTCTCTCTCTCTCTGTCTCTCTCCGAGTCGCAGACTAAAACCTGCAGCCTGAGGCGATTACTCACACACATTATTATGTTTTCCCATAAACGATGACTCACTCCGTTTCTTCTGTAGCTCTGAGTCCCGACTGGAGGAAGCTAGGTTTTTTTTTTCCTTTTTTTCTCCTTAAAATTAGTTTTGTTGCGACATCCACACTGAAGAAAACACAACATATATCTGCCTTCCCGTGTAGAATCCAACACTTTTTTTCTGTCTCTGCCTTACGGAGTACAGCGCGGTACTCTGTTTTTTGTTGTTTTTTTTCGACCTCTTGTCTGATTTTGCCATGTCGCAGCTTCCTGTGTGTTTTCGGTTCTCATTGAACACACAGCAGATCTGGCCGTGCCAGGATTCAGCAAAATATAACTGAACCGACACTTCCTCTATTTACGTGTTTGTGTCACTGCGAAAGGAAGTACTGCAGCACCCAAATCCTTAGTACTCTTTTTGATGCGTGTACGGTCCAAAACCTCAGAACGTAAAAAAAAAAATAATCGCGAACCACTTCTCTGTTATCTGCCGTTTCCTGTTGGTCTTCCTCGTCTATGTTTTTTTATGAAAACGCGGCCCGAAGTCTTCGAGTTCGGTAGTTCTCCGACGTTGACTGAAGAGTTGATCAACTGATTTATGGCTAGGTTTTCTTTTGTATATCATGGGTTTCATAAATCACCGATTTCGTAAATCGGTCCCCGACCCTTTTTTTGTACCATGGACCGGTCAACCGGTCTTTGAAGGATGGTAAAATTTTCAAAATAAAACGTCGACTTTATTTTATTGGTGTCAGAGTCCGCGTGACCTTTGACCTGTGGTTTTTAAAACATTGACAGAAAACAGTAAAGGCATATTTCACTGTGTCCCATTGCGGTCCGGTACTAAATGACCTACGGACCGGCACCGGTCCCCGGACCAGACATTGTCCTTGCTCCTGCTCAGCTGTCACTGTTTAGTGTGTGGTGATTGGTCACTGTCCTTAAACCTGACATGTGACCGTTGTTTGTGAACAAAAATAAGGGTTTCAGTGTCCGCGGCCTCAGGTTGTCAGGACAAACGCAGCGCCCACTGTTGGTAGCTATCACCACCCACACGCGCCGCATGTGTCATGAACAGATGGAGGCAGTGTGTGTGTGTGTGTATCAGTGTGTGTCCTTTGTTTTCTGTAGGTGTTTGTGAAGCCGACAGTGTGACGTGACGTCCCATTGGCTGAAACACAACAGATCAATACAGATATCAGAGGTTTCCGCCCACATCCTCTCCTCCAATAATGGGTGTTCGATCAGCCAATAAGGTTCATTTAGAGATCAGAAACAACTAATATGCAGTTTACTTCAAGGTTCACATGAGTTGACGGTTTAATTCCTGAACGTTAGTCCAGTTCCGTTTCAAGAAAAAATAGTTTAATTTGTCACCGTATGCAGGGACCGTATGCACGTATCTATAAATATATCTTTACATATACTTTTGAATATATATATATGTTTAACTGTACATACATGTAAGTACGCACTGCAATGTGCGATATAAAAATAGGCAATTTTTTTGCGGTGAAGCTTTTAGCCAACCTATGGCGCCATCTTGTTTGCTCAGTCACAGAAAATATATATAAATAAATATATATGTATATGTACAGTATATGTCTATTGAATGACATTCTTTTTTCGACTTTTCTGCCCACAGACTCTAAACAAACAGAGGAGCTCTCCTCCTATCAGCTCACTGTTCCCCGGGCAGTGGGAGGCAGGCCAGGACGGGCTGCGGACGGAAGACGGCCCAGTCAGGTGACTGTCTCACTGTGTACACAGTACTGTTTTAGTACTGTTCCATGACACGGACTGCGTGGTATCCGGGTACTTGTAAATCAATCTGTCAGGTTTGTAGCAGCGGAGAATGTCCTGGAAAAGTCTCTCTAGTTGGACCAGATATTTGTTAAACTATTGGTTCCCAAACACTGGGTCGCGACCCTCAGGTGGTTCGCAAGATAATTTGTTTTGCGTATATATGTATGTATACATATATGTAGATATATATGTGTGTATATATATATATATATATATATGTTTTTATATATATATATATTTATATATATTATTTTTATATGTATATTTGTGGGTGATTTAACGTCCTGCCTGTTGTCACCACTTGTCCACTCAGCTGAAAACAGGAGCTGACAGGGCAGGAAAAAAAATGTCAAAATGTCGTGTCCTAAACAAACCACCAGGGGGATTGACTTGCTCTTTACGTGGCTTCTCTGTGACTCCTGACCTTAGGAAACGAGGTCAGCACTGGAGGAGCTGATTGCTCAGATGCTTGGTCAGCAACTGACCGACACAGTCAGTAAACGTGGGAAGAACTTCAGCTCGGTTTTTAGTTGTAAGAACGAGGCGTGCTTGTGAACTGTGGCTTTGGCAAAATCATGGCCGTCAAGTCGGAAGTAACAAATTAATTAATTTTGAGGAATTAATGCGATTTTAAATGGCCTTGTAATGCACGTTCAGTTATCGTTGCTCTGATACGTGGCTGTCGAAACACATGGTTATTTAAAAACGGTTTTCATTTCACTGGAGAATGTCGAGGAGTTCAACCTCAGGTCGGCGGCCCAACCTCAGGTCGGCGGCCCAGTCTTGGCTAATGATTGAAATACATTACATTGACACCTACTGTACCTGCTGTTATTTAGCTGTTTTTTATATATATATTTAGGAATTTTAAATTATTATAAGAACAAACATTAATTAAGTTGATTAATAGTTTTAATTAACATTTTACAGGATTTAAAAAAAAAACTGCGGAATCTAAACAGGACTTTTCTAATCTAACAGAAGTTTGATTCCTGAGCGGAGCTCATGTGGTCGAACGGACGCTAGGCATGTTCCAGCACGGAGGGTGGAGTAACACAAACACTTTTTTTTTGGCTTTTCACAGCGACTGCCTCACCCTCTCTCCCCTTTTCTCCCCCTCACATCCACCATTCCAAATATCCGACGTGTCTAATCCTAATCTTAATCCTAATCCTAATCCTAAATTTAGTCTGGATCCTAAATCTTCAACCTCCACGTTTGCTCCGACTCCCCCGACCTCCCCCCCCCCCCC